ATAGCAATGTCAATTCTTGTCAAAACAATTTCTTTGCTTACCGATTCTCCAGGAAACGGGGACACGTGAATTACGCAAGAATAAGCCCCAAAACTCCAAGGGCATAATGTCTAATATATCCTAAAGCCGTATATATATATATATATATGTATATATATAGAGCAACCCACAATCGCAGAGCTTGACACACGTAAAGTAAGTAGGGTTTTCCGTTGATGGCTTCATTAACTAGCTTTTTGGCTTTGCCAAAGGGTATTGTGAATTGAAGGAAAAGCTTGTAAGGATTTACTTGCTGTTGGATTTATTTTGTCAACTATTTATTTTGTTAATTTAAATAGAATTAGTAAAGAAATGTAATTTAAAGGAAATTAATTATCGTGACATTTAAACAAGCTTAAGATAAACGTATTTGAAAAAATGTTTGATTAATATGGAACAAATCATCAATTATTTGCAAAATCGTTATAAATGTATCGATTTTAATATCGATATATTGAAAAAATATCAAAATGTTGTACAATATCGATTTGTGTATTGAATTTTTTGTTTTTATATTAAGGTTATACCAATATATCATGACCTTCTGTTATTCCTAAATGATTCCTAGGGAAATGTAATTTAAAGGAAATTAATTACTGTGGCAAATAAACATTGCTGAAGATAAACGTATCCGATAAATTGTATGATTGTTATAGAACAATTGATTGCAAAATCTTAATAAATGTATCGATTTTAATATCGATAAATTAAAATATTATCAATATGTTGCACAATATCGATTTGTAAATTGAATTTTGTGTCTTATATCAATATAGTCAATATTCAGTTATTTTCTGTCATTCGTAAACCCCCTATAACATTTTTTCCTTACTTAATTCAATATAAATCCGAGAAGAGTATCGAAACTTTGGCTTTGTTGAGGATTCGCTCTATTCTATTTGATGTATTTACTCCACCGGCTGGCTGCCTGTCCATCAACTATTCTTTGGACACTTTGTGATGGAAAAGAGAGTGAGATTGCCAGGGGCAGCCTTTTGTAACCGGTGCGGTGGGTTAAGTCAGACCCATATCGAAAATGTCAGGATTTGCAGTCGCTTCTCAGTGGCCAGACAGCTTGGCAGGCATGGAGCTGCTCCAGGCAAGTGTTTCAATCATTCAATTCAAGTTTAGGACAAAGTCTAGGACCCGGAGCCTGAAGTGGATTAGCAGGAGCCTTTGTGTGTGTGTGTTTTGAGTAAGGGGATGGGACATCCTTTTGGATGCCATTGTTGTCTCTTTAAATGATGTAGGAATTGGGTAGTAAATATATCTTATAAAGTGAAGAAATTATTTGTATTTAAATGTTTAAGGAATACCCATTTTCCATCTCCAATTAAATATAATTAAATACAAATAATTCGGACATTTCATGTATATAAATTAATGAATTGAATTATTTATTTAAAAGATTTCCCTTGACCTTCATGGACCAAAGGCCAGGACTCTCAGGCTCAAGCAGCTTGGCTTGGAGATTATTGTTGTTGGTCCAGAGGCCCTGAGGGTTGAGGTTTTTAATCTTTTGGTGGCTTTTGTCGACGATTTTCCGTGCAATTAGAGGGTGACCCCTCCTGTGGCATCTCCTTCACTATCCTTTTTTTTTCTTCTTTCGTTCTTCCTATTTTCCATATTTTTCCCCCATTTCTGCAGTTTTTTATTTATTATTATTTTTTTGTGTGCTAACAGCGCTTTTGACGAATGCAACGAGGTCGTGTTGTTGTTGAGGTGAGTTTTTTGGGTGTGGAGTGGTCCTTGTGTGTGTGTGTGTTTGTTATCCTGGCCTACAGGATAAAACCGGGGCAAGTTAACGATTTTCTTGTTTTTGCTGTTTTCTTTTATGTTTTTTTTTTTTGTTGTGTTGTGCGAATGAAATTTATGTAGAGGGTCCTGCTTGGAAAGCCAAAGGAGCCCTAAGCCCCGGTCCCGTGATTTTGAGTTGTGCAATAAATTTTTATCTGTACACGCGGAGTCCGGACAGCTCTGGACTTGCAGATTGAAGATTGAAGGGTTTTTTACCCAGCCATGGTTTTGCCAGCCATTAAACAACGCTGTCAGGAGACGCCCGAAGACCCGGCCATTATACAATAGAAATTTCTTGGACGTTATTTATATTGTGTTTTGTGGGAGCTGTCAGTGTTGGCGGAGTTTTTAAATGCCATTTGTGACATTTTATATGTTGTATTAACTTGGGAATTTTAGAGGAATTCTATTCGAGTAATAGGGTTGTTGGGGGGATCTATTAAAAATAAAATTTAAATGATTGCCTTTCGCCTCTCTTACTTTAAATGTAAAAGCAATTTTTGCTTTCGAATGAGTGTTTGCTTCTAATTCTTGCAGTAAATGTTAGGGCAATCTTTCTTGTGAGAACGATTTTTATTTATTTTAAGGCAGCTTTTAACTTCCCTTTCATTTTATCTTTTTTTTCCATCTTACTTTCACATTCTCTCTCTCTTTCGGTTGCTTTTTCTCTCTCTTTCTCGGTTGCTCTTTCTCTTTCTCTCGGTTGCTCTTTCTCTTTCTCTCTCGGTTGCTCTTTCTCTTTTTCTCGGTTGCTCTCGCTCTCTATCTCAGTTTCTTTCTTTCTCTCTCTCTCTCTCTCGGTATCTCTTTCATTCTCGGAATCTCTTTCTCTCTCGGTATCTCTTTCTCTCTCTCTCTCTCTTGCTCTAAGTGTTAGACCAATTATAACACTTTTAAGTCTGTTTGCTTTTAAAAAAAAGAAATCTCTCCTCCTAACTCTTTCTCTTCCTTCTCCCGCTATTCGGGAATTTTACTTTCTCTTCCAATTTCTTATTCTTTCGCTTTAAATGTCACAGCAATTTTGTCTTTTAAGACTGGCATCTTTTTGCAAAGAATATCTCCTTCTATCAACTTATCAGTTCCCTTTAGTAGCAAACGAGAGACTTTAATTTGAACAGCATTTTGCAACAATAAAAAAACATTTCTGCTCTAAAAGAAAGACTTTCCTGCATAGTTACTTTTACTTTATTCTTGATATCTGAACCAAAGGAAGCTCTTATTTTAGTACAGTTTCAATTCCATTTATTGATTAAACTTGCTTCTTCTTGTTTGCTTAGTTTAATTTAAAATAACATCTTGCGGCTTTTTATCTTTCTCTCAACTAAATTGCACTTAATTGAAGGCTCCAAGAAAGGGCGTAATTTGACGGGAAATGTGCCAAAGTGACAGCAGCAGCAGAAGCAGCAGTTCCCTGTTAAGGTGCTCTCTCCCGTGTTGGCTTTATTGTTATTGGCCAAGCTGCGTTTGCTGGCCATGTTTTAGCTCTAAGTGCCGAATGACATCTGGGTCACCTGGGTTCCTTCCAGTTACCAGTTACCAGCTCCTGGCTTAACTTATTCCCTGCACTTGGAACAGAGCCTGGGATGTGTCCTCTGGCCATCGACGAGGACATTCACACTTCGGCCCAGTACAGTGCGGTTCAGGGCCTTAAAACGATTGATGGCTTAATACTTGTAGGGGGCATTGGGCCTTGTTGGGATTTACCGTGATTTGTGTGTTTGTGGCTAAGCAATTGAATTTGATTGGGCCAAGAAAAAAAATAAATTATCATTTTAAGTAGAGTCAAATTTATGGTCAACCAGAGACAGCTATTGATTAATATTTATAATTGTTAGTATTTTTTCTTGCTTTAAATTTCCCTTTGCTTCTAGCTAATAATAACATTCCCATAGTTCAGGTTAATATTCATAAATTAACCAAAAACAAAAAAAGAAAACCCAACTGTTGAAATCTGAAATCGAATTAACACATATTTACGAGATGATAATCGGCAGGGCAATCGAAATGAATTACACTGCTGGGGCCGCACTGTACGTGCCTGGGCGATAAAGCAATCATTTTAATGGCGTGATTAAAATTTCATCAGCTGAACTCAACGGGGCGAAATCTGAAATCCGAAATTCACAATCGAAAAATCGAATTGAATCGAATTAAAGCGAGCCGCAAGTGGAGAGCAGAGATGTTTATCAATTATTCTTGGATTCGAATCTATGTGGGAAGCTTTTTCTTTTTCTTTTCTTTTTTTTTTTTTGTTTCTCAATTATCTGTTCGGCCTGCTCTATATATACATATATCTATATTTTCTTTGTTTTGGCTGAAAAGCCAGTGTAACTGACAAATCAATCAATGTTTATTTATAGAAAATCCCATCAAGGGTGGCGCTCATAAACAATTGAATTCATTTGTGGCCCCAAATGCGATTGCATTTGCCATCTAAAGAATTTTAACCCAATTTGAACACGTTCTACACTCAGGAAAAGTAAAGGCCAAGACAAAAGTATAGATCTCTAGTTAAGAAATAAAAAATACATAATCAAGTTGGCATGGAAATAAAAGTATATAAAAAATTAAAAAAGGAAATAACACAAATTCGGAGCTCGTCATCGGTTTTTAATATTCTCCTAAAGTAAAGCGAAGCACTTAAGGCTCTTTCTCTCTCTTTTGTCTCCATAATTCTCTCAGAGAGATAAAATGTGAATCTCTCTCTTGATACCTACCGTGCCAGAGAGCAATAAGAAGAGCCATAGAGCTAGATTGATCCTTTGGAAAAGTATGCGACTTAAAGAGAGCTCAACTTACTCTTGAGAAGCAGTGTTCTCCTGCACTTTCTCCAAGCGAAAAAGCAGAAAAGGATCCTACCTTCTCTCAGGTAAATACCCTTTTCTGCTTTTTCTCTTGGAGAAAGTGCTTCTATATCTTTTCTCAAAGAGAAAATGTCAAGTGAGACTTTATTTTGAATCCATTTCCAAACTAGTCCAATAATAAGACAACTAGCTTTTTTTTATATGTATTTTTGTAAGCCAATTAAGTAAACTAAAATATTTCCTCAAATAAAAGGCCCAGTTAGGATCTCGGGCTCGATTCTTTCCCTATTTGATATCGGATCCTTAAGGCTTTTCCTCGAGTAACCATAATTTCGTCAGTCGTCTTTTTTTTGTTAGGTATATTTTTGTGAGCCAGTTAAGTAGACTAAAATATTGCTCAAGTAAAAGTCCCAGTTAGGATCTCTCCTCGATTCTTTCCACTGGACGAGAAGACAGCACTTTGGAGGGATATACTAAATTGAAATTGAATTGAAATTTAAGGATTTTCTTTTGTAAATTATTATCTTTGATACTCACAATGCTGCTTCAACGTCCAAGAAGTGTTCCGATGCCGGTAGTCGGTCCTAAGGAGCTTTCCCTGTTTGATTTCGGAGCCTTAGAGATTCTTTTCCTCGAGTTACCATAATTTTGTAATTGTCTTTTTTTGTTCAGTATATTTTTGTAAGCCAGTTAAGTAGACTTAAATATTAATCAATTAAAAGTCCCAGTTAGGATCTCGGGCTCGACTCTTTGCACTGGACGAGAAGACAGCACTTTGGAGGGATATACTAATTTGAATATTGATAAATTCCTATGATAAATTATTATCTTTGATACTCACAATGCTGCTTCAACGTCCAAGAAGTTTTCCGATGCCGGTAGTCGGTTCGAAGGAGCTTTCCCTATTTGATTTTTGATCCTTGGAGAGGCTTTTCCTCGAGTTACCATAATTTTGTAGTTGTCTTTTTGTGTTAGGTTTCCGTTACTCTTCGTTTTTTTTTTTACACATTTTTTCAGGACTTTTTTCCATTTTTTTCTTTTTTTGCTGGTTCTTTGCTTTCTTTACATTTTACTTTCTTCTATCCATTGTGACTGCCTCCTCGTACATCCGGTATTCTTAATCAGGATTTATGCGATCCACATCATAATCGTTTCCCAAAGGCCCCTTATGCGATCCTCTTAGGGAATTGTTATGCGTTGCTAATTGGAACTTGCTATGCGATACTAATTGGTACTTGATTAGAGCTAGTTATAGTTATTAGTATTGTTGTAGTAGTTCCTTTACTGCGTTTTATTTTCTAAAAATGGGTTTATATATATATATATTTAATATCATATCAATATCAAATAGTAATATACCTATCAAGGTAAGTTCTTTCCGTTTCCATTTGCATTCATTGCTAGCGTAAGTCTGGTAATTTTTTTTTTAGTATTTTTCCTTTCTGCCGTTTGTGTATGCTTACTTTCTTTCACCTGCTTATTTCTCTGTTTTTTTTGTTCTAAATTAGAATGTATAAAATTACTCTTTATTTTTTAAGTTTATGTATATTATTTACCTGTATGGCTTCATCTGTGTTGTCTTCTCGACAAATTATGCTTAAACCTAAGATATCACAACTTAACCTATTTTAAACACTTTATACTTAAACCTAAGATAAATAAATATTTACAAAAGAAAACTTGTTGACCGAAAATTTTGAAAACGAAAAGTTTAGTTTTTCTTGGTTTTAGATTTTTAGTTTTTTTTTTTTTTTGTTACTTTTAGATGTTGCCCGGACGAGTTGTAGATTGAAACTGATTTCTGTTGGGACTCGCTTACATAGGTAACATTCTAGACATGGCAAATTGAGTTCAAGGCTTACTAGATCGTACTTTTTTTTACATAAGCCTACTAGGATCTTATAAAATTTATTTTAAAAAGAAATAACCCAGTTTCTCCACAAGAAACTTTCTTTAAATTCAATCCCAAAACCTGTAAAACATGTATTTAAAATCTTGCCTTATAATAATTATAATAATTTTGCTATGTGCTCCTTGCATTCTCTTTTGTATCTGTGTATCTTTGTATCTATGTATCCGTATCTTTGTATCTATGGCAATTCGCCTGGCACGAAGTCGTCTGTTATGGTCCGGACTGTGGGACTCCCCAACTATTATTAGCGTCACGCTCGACATGCAAACGTATAATGGATTTATATATGCCTTCCGTACTGTACTGTATATACATTCCTGTAATATATATATATAAAGTATATATATATGTTTGTATATTTCATTCCAGCAGAAAGCAGAAACCATTACTTTGCAGGTGTTCGAATTTTCACATTTTTACCAGGTGCCTCAATTGTCCTTTTCCTTTTGTCAAAAAGAAAGGAGAAAACTACAAAAAGAGCACTGGAAAAAATACAAAAAAAGAACAACAAAGTACTACAAAATATTAATAATAAATGCTGATCAAGCTTACATTATAATTATTCAATCTTCTTATTTCATAAAATTTAATACAAGTAGAGAAAACTTTTAGAGTTTCTTCAACTTTCTTTTATATTTATATAGAATTTCTTCAACTGCATTTACTTTCTTTTACTTTGTTGACTTTTACAAACTTCTAGCATAACTGTGCCTGCATAATTTAAAATTCTTTTTTCGTATTTATAGCTGAAATATTGATTTTTATTTGTTAAATTTTTGAGAGTGGTTTTTGGGTGTGGGGGGATTTCCCCTCTAGGTGACTTGCGGTCAACAAGCTTTTTCCCACTTTGCCACATGTGGTGCTGGTGTGGCTTTGAAGCTTTTGTGGCTTATCAGTCCTTTGTCAGTGTCCAAACTCCTCGAAACTATTTAGTTTTGGTCCTGGAAAGCTTGGCCGCAGCTTTTGAACCCCCTTTTTCATCCCTTTTAAGCCTATGCTGGCCTTCGATTTGTTCGGCATTTTATGATGGAAGATTACCTTCTCTTCTTTGTTATTTTCTTACTTGGGCTTAAGTTTAAAATTAGTTTTTTAAAGAGCATGTCCAACTGCATCACTCATACGCATCGTTGAGAATATCACTCATACGCACTGTTTCCTATGACTGAACTTACAATACCATTTTTTGAGCTATATTTTATATATATATTTTATATATTTTTATACTATTTTTATACTATTTTATACTATTTTTTTCTATAAATCAAAGATTAAAAATCGCATAACTAAGCCAAAAAAGAGTTTATTTTAATTGGGAAAGCTGTCCTTTGTTAGTTTTTACTAGCTTAATAAATCTGCATACTTCATTTAAAATTTTAGAAAATTAAAATTTTTATCAATTTTTTAAAATTTAATTTGCATAATTTTACCCCTAAAAAAATGTTGAAAATTAAAAAAAAATTAAATTTTTGCCGGACAAAGCTAGATTGACTCGGCTGTTCATGCTGATCAAAAATATATATGCTTTATAGGGTCGAAAATGATTCCTTCACTTCGTTTTAAGCTTCTGACTGAAGTGAAAATACCATTCTTGAGTTGATATTTATCATTATTTTTATATGACAATTTTGGGACAAAACCAAGTTTTGAAAATCGCATAACTAAGCTAAAAATCCATTTATTTTAATTCGGCGAGTTGTCCCATGTTAGTTTTCACCAGCTTAATAAATCTACATACTTTACTTCAAATTTAGGTAAATTAAAATTTTTATCATTTTTTCAATATTCAATTGTTAAAATTATACGCGTTAAAAATTGTGAAAAATATGAAAAAATTAGATTTTTGCCGGACTTCGGCGATTCGATTCGATTCGATTCGGCTGTTGATGCTGATCAAGAATATATATGATTTATAGGGTCGGAAATTACTCCTTCACTTAGATACAAGCTTTTGAATCAGATTAAAATACTTTTAAAAGGGTATACAAATAATTACAGTATCAGTTTAAAAACAACTCTTAAAAATGTGACCATGCTTACCTTCTAATTATTCAATTTCTTTCCATTTCCCTCCCAATTTGTAGATGTCAATTCAGAAGCTGAACGACACCGCCAACTCGGGCTACGTGAGTTCCGAGGAGACGGACTCGCTGCTGGTGAGTCAGAATCCAAATCCGGCTCGCGTCGGCGGCGGACGAACGGCGCTGCTCCGGCAGGTGAAGAGCAGCTCCACAAATGGACCAACCGGTGCCACCTCCACCTCCTCGACGGGCTCTGGCACTGGCTCCGGCACCGGATCCGTCACAGGCTCTGGTGCGGGCTCTGTGGCGGGTTCGGGAACGGGAACGGGAACGGGAACGGGAACAGGCTCCGGAGCTGGGAGCACACAGGCCAGTAAACCGACGCTGATGCGTCAGGATCGGACTTCCACATATCTAACCAGTCCGCAGCAATCGCAGCATGCGAGAATGGGCTCCGAGGAGAGTATGAGAGGAGGCTGCGGTGGCGGTGGTGGCATAACGAATCCCCACGACGAGGATGTGGAGCAGGGACTGCTCCGTACAAGCCTAGTGCCTGACATCGAAGTTCACGAAGAGGACCAAGATCAGACCAACGACCAAAAACAACAGCAACCACAGACCATATCAATTATGAATTTAAGCCTGAAGCCCGGCGATAGCCACAGTCACAGCCATAGCCATAGTCATAGTCCCAGTCCAGGGCCAGGTCCGGGTCCCGGTCCCGGTCCTGGTAGCCATCCCAATTTGGGCACATCATCATATCAGAATCTGGCCTCAAGCATACCGCCCAGCGCTCCAAGCCGGTGCCGGGCATGCCGCAATTGCAGCCGTCGTGCTTCCACCACGCCCATGTCCAGCTCCATTGCGGATCGGGGGCAGATCGATAGGAGCGCCTCGCGGGATAGCGTCAAGAGCGCCTTCCAGGGCCAGGGCAATCTCAGTGGATCCATGCTGCTCCAGCTGCAGCAGCAGCATCAGCAACAGCAGCAGCAGCAACACTATCAACACCAGCTCCAAGTAGTCCACCAGCAGCAGCAGCAGCAGGTGCCACCTCCAGTCCTTATCACATCGTCGCCCACGAATGGATCCCGAATAATCCGTCAGAGTTCGCAGCCAGAATCGAGCACCACGGCCATCGTTTGCTGTGGTCCCCACTCCGCCTGTGTGGGTCACTCGCATTCCCATTCGCACACGGTGCCCAATGTGTCCCTGAAGCAGCTCAGGGAGAGCTCCGGCGATGGCATCGCTGGCATTGCAGCGGATTCATTGAGGATCAACGGTGGCATGCGGCCCTTCAAGCAGGTGAGTTTGTCAAAGAAATCTTATATTCAAAGTTTCATTGTACCACAGAGTGTTTTATCAGTCCATGACCCAAAAAGAAACACCACAATCGCTCTTTACCATGTTTAAATTTTTGATCATTTAATTAAAGTTGTGATAATTAATTATAACAAACATAGTCCATGAGCGAAGTATCCAGTGGCGTCTCAAATTCTTTCTAGGGATGACAGAATATATTGAGATATGGATACTTATACGATACATTGCAATAAAACCATATTCTGTTTGATATATCGCATCAGTAGAGTCGAAAAAGAGTAATATAATTTTAAATAACATTTTCCCTTATATCATTGGTAATTTAAAATTCGATAAACATCCCTAGGAAGTTCCCTGTACTTACTTATGCTCCATAAATCATCAAATATCCCTGTGTAACCCCATCTACATATAGTGTTTATCTAAGTATATACCCGTATTGTGTAAATTGAATGTTTTTTAGCCACTATATAGCGCACTATATATACATAGATATATCTATCTATATAATATATGGATGTTGTGTACATACAAGCAATTCCCAGATCCTTTTGCATATATCGACAGAAAGGCAGGCTATATTTGATAGATATATTTTATAAAATTAAATTAATTTAAATGATGAATTGTTGGATCTAACGTTTTAAAACATTATGATGAAAAGTCTTTGAAAGTTTTACAATTATTCATTTTGTTGTGATTAGCTGAAATTAAAGTTAAAATAGCTTAAAAAAGCTTTTCTAATTTCAGAACTAAAATTACAAAAAGTTATTACAAAGTTTGCATTTAAAAGTTTTGAAAATATCCTGAATATTAATTTACAATGTGACCAGCTTCATTGAAACTTTAAACCGTGTGACCATGCTCATTTATGAAGCAATTGAAACCCGGTAATTGCTTAAGAAATTGTAAAAAATTATGCTTATAAACAACTAGAGTATCTCCTTAACTATCCAAAGACAATCCCTATTTGTATGGCCCATAAAGATCTCATTCATCACCCACAGAGATAGAGAGATGTCTGGAGGAGATGCTAAATCGTTTTTCCCATAACTCATCGCCATAAACACCAAGATGTTTTTTATGTCCAGTCTCGGATTTCAGTTTATTTATTTCCGAGAGATGTTTTCTAATAATCATAAAAACACGCTGGACTGAAAGCTATTTGCAATGATTTGCTTGTAGTTCTTTATTTTTTTTTTCCTTCCTTCCTATTTCTTTATTTTTATTTTCTTTGTTTTCGGTTTATTTTCGTTTTTGCGTTGAATTCATTTCTTGTTCTGACTGTTGGCGGCGTTTTTTTTCGCGCGCTAAAATCCAATTAGGGGAAAATCAATATTGCTCATACGCCGCGTTGGCTCAACAATTATTTCGTTTGCTTTCCTATTAATTTTTTTTTTGAAGCATAATTTAATATTTTGTTGACACGAGATTTGATCAAGGGGAATTGAGAGATTCTTTAGGTATTTATATATATTACTTACCCATAATTAAGCCTCTGTTTCTCTGTTTGATTATTCATGTGGCAATTGAATTGTTAAATCCCCTCTCTTCGGGAAAATTACAGAAATACCAAAGGGCACTAGTGGCACGGCCATATCTTTCATCTTACATGCCAAGGGGAAATATAATTATAATTAATATCAATTTACGCCCAAAAATGTCTGAACTTTTGCCGCTTTTCTACTTTTGCTGTCTTCCATAAATATCCCTACAAAAAAAGAAAAAGAAAGTAAAGAAAATGAAGAGGAACCATGGAACGAATATATATATATATATATATAGACGAAAATAATATTGCTTTCTTCATGCTGGAAGAAGAGTGACCTTACCATGATTGATGAATGTTTTCACTCTTTGACATTTGCCGTCGCGTTTTCCTATTTTTTCCCGCCTCCCCCTCCGCCCATTTTCCGTTTCAGTCTTTATAGATAATTGCGTTTGGGTCTGTCTGTCTTTCGGCAAATAGTCTGGGGAAAAACGCCAAGCGGTAAAACATTTATGGAAGCTTCAGCGAAAGCTTTCCGCACGGAAAATGCGCTAACGTAAAAACAAGAAAAAACAGACAAACTAGAGCAGATAGCTGGGGGAAAATCAAATGGGAAATCGGCGCGCTTAAGAGCTTTCAAGCCACATTTAACACGAATGAAAAATACACAAAAAAAACTAAAAGGAAAACACATTTTAATATGCAATTCCCTTGGTGTTACCCCCTTCGCTTACCAAAAGCTTACCATTTTGGCCTTTTAAGTTGTATATCTGTGAGAGCTTTTCTTTTGGGTTGTAACTGCGAAAGCTCGTAACGTATTTTCAAGTTTTCAATTGTCTCCGGGTTTTCCGCTTTTCCGCTTCGCATTTCCCTCCCAAGTTGTTTTTATTGTTTTAAAGCTTCTGACATTTAATTATGCAACATAGCACATGAACTTTTCATCAACATTTATCACTCGTCATAAATAGATTATTAAATATTTTGTAGGATCACTATCAATCAGTCTCTTTTTTATCGTATATAAATATAGTCCTTAATGTTATCGTATCTATATATATATCGTATATCGTATAAGTTGGTCTCTGTATTACTGATCTATGTAGTTTCGATTATATTTCTATATATCCTATATATCCCTATATAACCCTTTGTAACTTTTTGTCTATCTTTATAATCTTGAGACAGGGCGCTGTGTCAAGGTGTAAGGGGGTCTTGGTTTAATCATTTAATTAACTAATTATGTAAAACTTACAATGTAAATAATATTTTAGAATTTTTTAATTATTCATCTTTCCTAATATCTCTCAAGAAATCACTGTTCTTTTTAAAATCTCTCCTAAAACCCTTGAAAATATCTCTTAAATCTCTTCAAAATCTCTCTCTTATATATCTTTAAATCTCCTTAATAAATCTTGCAGTTCTCGCACAAATATTTCTCCCAAGATCAAGAGAAACAATTGACTTTAGATTTATAATTATTATACATATAACATAGCCTACTTTTTTGGGCACTTTAAATCGATTCATCCCGAAACTCTGGCAACAACGCACTGTCTCTATCTGTAGGATATCTCTATGTAGGATATCTCTATGTAGGATATCTCTATGTATATTTATATATATATTTCCTATTTCTATGTATCCTTCGCTGCTATATACATATATCCCACCAGATCCTATGTCTACTATGTGTTTTCCTTCCCAAAAAAAGAGCGAACAGAAACTAAGCCTAGCAACTAAACTAACTAAGACCTTAAACTTAAATTTAAAACTCTGTCTAACTGTTCTAACTGTACTAATCGCTATCGCATCCACTCTCGCAATCTGATCTCTTCAGGGCGTTCTTCTAATGCCTCGCACCTTGTCCGAAAGCCGAAAGTTGCGCCTTCGAAGGGCCTTCACCGAGGCCACTAACGAAACGCTTCAATGCTCCAAAATGGTATTTAATTTGCAAAAATCTCTCTCTAAAATCGTTATAAACAATTACCCCCCAAAACAAAACCAACAACAAAAAGTCCCATTTTGCCAACGATAACAAATTTATTGTTTAATGTGTACATAAATATTTAGAATGAATTTAAACAGAAACAAAAACAAAAACAAATGTTGAACCAGCTTGTAGTTCCAAAAATTCCAAAAACAAAAACGAAACTAAAAACAGTTAATTTCCAATGGCACCGCATTTAAGTTTTAAGTGAGCGAAAAAAATAAAACTAAAAATGAACCTTAAAACCATTAAAATTTCAAATTCATTTGTATTTATTTTCCTTAAAAAATGCAGTAAATAATAATTAAAATATTATAAAGATTAATCGCTCACTTAAGGCTTAAGCTATGACCTTCCCGCCTCCCAGCGGTCATGTAGCTTGTTTTGTTATCGATAAAAACAATAATTTTATAAAAAAAAAAAACAAAAGCAACAATGCAACAACGCTAATGCAAATGCTAATGCTAATGCTAATGCTACCCCTTGTGCAAAAAATCGGTTCAGTTCTTTCTAGCCTGCACCTGCCTCTATTCTATTATTTCCCCTAGAAATCTCACCGAAACTAAAGCGGTTTTTGAACAAATTTGAAACCAGAATGTTGAGCATTTTGACCGCATTTCCATTCTCCACTCTCCATTCTCCACTGACCACCATTCCACTCTCCACAACCACTTCCGCTTTGCATCCGTTTTGAATGTGTTGTAGCTGCATAGTTCAATTAGTTTATTTATAAATATTAAGCGATGATGATCCATCGCCGCAGGTAAGATTTAGTTGACAATATATTCATATACATTTCCATATGATCAGCACTGTATTGTATTTTCCACAAGCACCGTTTTGGAAATATTATAAGTAATATTATAAAATATTTACTGATATGAATAATAATTATATTTTTATGGGGGAAAGTTTGAAACTATATTTATAAATTATAAAATAACTTATAATTACCATAAGAAAATAATATTTGGGAACAGTTTTCTAGGCATATAAATGTGCTGGGAAAATATAATATATTTAGAAAACTAATTTAAAAAAATGAAAGAATTTTTGGTATTACCTAATATTCCAAACATTTTTTTGATAATTTTTTAAACATAATTTGTCTTAAAAATATCAAACTGATAATTTATGTTCATTCATCATTGATATTCGCCGAATTTCCAGGGTATTCCAATCTCTTTTCTCTCTCGAGTTTTTCTTGGGAACCATCAATTAATTGGCGAGCAGGAAGCATTTAACATTTAAACATTTTCCTCGATTGAAAAGATGCAAAATGTTCATTTCCATGACGTAGGGGGCACGATCAGGTGTTTGATTCTCACAATTCTCCCGTTGAAATCTTCCCCCTCCCCCACCAGCGGATGTCTCTCTCATCGATTGATTGCCGCTCTTCCGTTCTCTCCATTTGCCTCTCTCTTCTCTCTCACTTATTATTATCCACCTGCTGCTTGGTCTCCACATGGGTTCCACTCGCATACCTGGGATCCAATCCACAAAAGT